CCATGTTTCTCCGACGAAGTCTCGACTGACAATAATGCTGACAATGGACGTTAGATAAACACGCATTGTTTGCAACTGGAAGCTTATCACCCGTTATATCAGAATCGTCAACAACAGAGTATACAGATAAGATGTTATCATTTAATTCCTTCCAAAGATAAACACTATGCAAATATCCACGAAACGGCAGTTGTAGTCTTTTCTGCTAGTGTTTTAAAACACTAATTTGAGCAACGTTATTTCGCAATTTCGATCTTTTGTAAACCTGGGGTGATGTATCAAGGTCTAAAGTAACTGTTTTATCAATTTTTGAAAAATCAAGAAAAAAGTGAAAATTTCCCTTCTCGCTACCTTAAGCAGTTTTTAATTCTTGTTGGACATAGTTTTGGGTACTGTCCACTTGGATTGATTTTTTTTTCACATTTTATACAAAGAAAAGTCATAATGGCTCACATATGTTTTCCAATGTTTTTTGCTTCATTAAACTTTGGCCGACTGATGATAATTTTTGTTCTAAAAAACACCAAAATGGTTTGTGATTTGATTCAAAATGACCGACAGGTTGCCATATTGGTTGTATTTTCATGTGTATTTAACAATTTCTCAGACAGCTCTAACAGATTCAGTTCAAAATAAGTACAAAGACAAGACGTAATGGTATACATATTCATGTTGATTTGTTTTTCATCTTGATTTCTGACCGATGGCCAATTTAGTCTCAAAAAACATGTCATCAGACATGTCATTTTAAATGCCTGATGAGTTACTGTTGCATGTCAGTTTGTTTTGAGATTTTATTAAAAATGATAAACTAGCGGCAAAGTTGGTTTTATTATCATTTCTTTGATGTACTCTCACTGATTTGCTCAAAGTCAGTACAAAGACAAGAATAATCATATTATGTTTCAACATTTCATATTGTGTAATTTTACTGATTTCTACTCTGTAGTGTCATAAATAGCTACGTATTGAGTTGTGTGTGTGTTACTTATTGATTTGTACATGTGCAGACCAGACGAAGTTCTGACTAATTACACACATACACATAAAAAGCCTACAAAATTAAATTCACTACGTTCAATTACCCACCATAGACTCCGGTCAGTCAAAATGACTATTTTGAACTGTAGGCATTAATCTGCGATTCAGCCAGTGATGGAGAGAGAAATCTAGGTCAGGGGAAGCCCCATGACCTCAAGATTTTCCTTCACATAACGAACCATGTGACCTCCTTAGCTACTTCTGTTTTTCTCCGCCCCGTGTAGGTGGTTTGATAAAAACGATGCGTTTTAGTCATCCAGATTTTTCCATGTCTGGGTTTTAATTCTTGTTCCACCTGAAATGCATTTACATGGTATTATCATAATTTTACGCAAGTATATAGCTCAGTATTACATATTAAAAAAATATACACAAAAAACTTATATTTTGCAGTTATCAAAACGTGCTTTGAGAGATTACAACAGAGGCAGAAAGTATTTGGAAGATGTTGCCAATCGTAGTAAAGTGCCAATCTTCAATGATGTACTGGAGTCTGTGCAGTGCGCTGTTCAATTGATGAAGTCTGAAAAATGTTCTTGAATTGTTTACTCTCATTAAACATTTGTCAGTACCAGAACTTACAATATTTAAATTATCATGTGGTAAAATTGTGTCAGCTGACCAGCATTAACCAATCAGGTAATAGAGCTTGGTATCAGCTGATCGGCATAAACCAATCTGGCAACAGAACTTGGTGTCAGCTGACAAGCATCAACCAATCAGGTAACAGAACTTGGTGTCAGCTGACCAGTATCAACCAATATAAATAAAGATGTACATCACTTTGACACATGGATATTCAAAACCGTAAATATTTGTTACTATATTTTTTATGCTGTAAATAGTTTATTTACCATTTTTTATATATATATATACTATGCTTTGTACATATTATGGACAGGAGTTTTTGTTTCTTTTGTATATAAATAGTATTTAAGATGCAATTCTAGTAGCTTGTCAATATTGTTGGAGCCAGTGCAGTAAAATGTCTAAATGTATGTTTTGTGCCTTCTTGAAATTTAAAAGTGATTTTAACACAAATTTCTTTTTAAGATACGATTTAAGCTGAAATAAAATTACAACATTTTAAGCGATGAATATCAACTATTTTCAGGTCAACGAGCTGTGTGCATATATTGTTACTTTAGGCCAAAAAAAAAATTGTTTTGTTGCCCTCAGCGACTGACCGAAAAATATCAGGTCGCATTTTTTTTTGTTAATAGGCCCAAATACTAAAATGTGAAAAAGTGTTTCCTCTAAAAATTAAGGATCCCGGACTGTTTGATCCCCAGAGTAGCTGTAAGTGGCGACTTTGAACCTCGGGTTGATCTGTATTTCTCTGACATGTTCCGAATACTATGAAGTCCATATACCTTGGCTATTTTACGATACTCTTAGTTTTCACGAATTTAAAAAAAATTCGACTGACTCAATTTTTCGACTTGAAGGCAACATAAGTTGTCGTTTTTTTGGCCTTATTACTTATTATACAAGCAAAGCAGGTGGTTTGTGGTTGAAAGTAACATGTACATGTAGTTTACTATGATAGGTTCTACGGTTGATTGGGAGGGAGTTGTATTACACACATACACTGACAACACACAAACTGTAATGGAGCTGCAGGAAAAACACCTAAAACTCGCAGAATTCTGGCTATTACAGCAGGGTAACTCTAACTGGAGTTAATGACCTGTTTGGAGTCTCTGTTCTATTAAACATCCAGGGCATCAGATGTTCACTAAAACTTCAACCCCTAACAGAAATTAGCCTCCTAGTTGTCCGTCAACTATCAGTAAATACTAACTATTGTAAGATTATTTTGAGATTGTTTCGCCGTTTTCAAGGACTTGAGCAACATATTACCAACAAAAATAAGTATAAAATTAAATAAGTGTAAACATAAAGGATGAAAATGCATTTCTATTGTCAATAGCAATACATACCTTTATTTTGAATATTCAACCAAATACTGGTGTTTACTCCTAGCTTCTATTTAAATCACAGCTTCTAAGTAGACATTTACTCATGAACATTTAAATCGCAGCTTTTAAGTATAGACATTTACTCATATTCAAATCACAGCTTCTAAGTATAGACATTTACTCATTCAAATCACAGCTTCTAAGTAGACATTTACTCATGAACATTTAAATCGCAGCTTTTAAGTATAGACATTTACTCATATTCAAATCACAGCTTCTAAGTATAGACATTTACTCATATTCAAATCACAGCTTCTAAGTATAGACATTTACTCATATTCAAATCACAGCTTCTAAGTATAGACATTTACTCATATTCAAATCACAGCTTCTAAGTATAGACATTTACTCATATTCAAATCACAGCTTCTAAGTATAGACATTTACTCATATTCAAATCACAGCTTCTAAGTATAGACATTTACTCATTCAAATCACAGCTTCTAAGTATAGACATTTAATCATGAATGTTCGAGTTGCAGCTTCTAAATAGAGGCATTTGTGGATGTTTATAAATCAAAGTGTTTACTCATGAATATTCAATGAGGAGTGTCCTCAGAAAGACATTCATTCAATGTGCGATGGCGCTTTAAAAGGATGGCAAGAGATCTCCGCCTGGCTCTGTCTGCAACTGATCTGTCTTGTTCTCCATTTAATTCTGATCCAGTAAGAGAATTTGCCGAGATTAGGCTAAACTAGAGTTTCTCGTAATCACACATTACTCTTACGGTAACCAGGAAAGTATATATTGTAGTTCTACGGTTAGAAAACAATACCAAAGCAAATCACAAAAGTGCAAATTGCAGACTAACAAAGTATTGGTCATCAGTAAATTTTTTTTTTCTTGAGAATATCCCTGGATGTACTCTCATTGATTGGCATGTCTGACATGGCATACCAAAATGAATAATAGAAATTTTTTTCAAATGAGCATTAAAAACAATGGCGTTTTGGGTGCCAATAGTCAAACCTAAGAATTTGCATGCATCTACTTAGCCGGCACTAAGGAGCTGTGCAACTACGTGTCTAAGTGGAGTCTAGGCAAGTTACGCTGTTCAATGACATAATGAATGGGACAGCGCTAGAATGCGAGGTGTAATAATTCACAACAAAAATGGGTAGGTATTAATGTAATTTATTAATTCCCAATGTCTAATCGGACATTAAGGTAATTTTTTACACGCATCGTTTCACTTCATTTACAACATTCGAGGGTCCAAGAAATGGACATGAAAAAGAGGCAAGGTGGCCAGCATCACTTCACGACTTACAAGGCCATGAGTTAGAAATGGGGTTACTTTTTTTTTTTTTTATTAATAAATGGGAAGAGAAAATGCAGCATTATGGAATGTCAACAAAAACATTTGCAAAGAATTGTCCTTATTGTTTCACTTCATTTACAACATTCAAGGATCCAAGAACATAACATATAAGCTTAGGGGACAAGGTGGCTAACATCACCTCACAACCTACGAGTCTATGGATTAGACATGGGTTTGTTTATTTTCAATAAAGGAGGAACGAAAAATGCAGCATATGGAATGTCAAAAAAACAAATCATTTGCAAAGAATTGTCCTTAAAATTAATGAAATTTAGTAAAATGATGAATGATATTAGATATTCAGCTTCATTATGTTCACAGCTTTACTTTCAATTGATCTCTGATGCCCTGGGGAATGTTTTTCAGATAGTAATCATGATTCTCAAAGGTTGCTAGAACACCAGCTGTGTTTGGCTTCTGAACATCTTTGTGATATTCCAGGATGTTACCATGGATATCTGTCAGTCTTCCTACAAATGAAATAAATGTACAGAGTTTTTAGCAAATGTTAAATAGTTAAGCCATGAAACTTTTGGCAAGAAGACATTTTTTTGGCATGTGTCTTATAACAAAGATAATTTGTTGTGGCAAACAGCACAACTTTTATCATCGTATATATTTATTAAGGTTAAACCCTTTTTAAACTCTGCCAAAACTACAACCTTGCTTGCATTTCTCAAACTATAACTAAATACTTAATTAACCCAATTAACCAGACAGTGTCTAGGTTGTGTGGTCGTTATCATGCCTATACTTACCTCCTACAGCTTCCAATATAGCCTGGGGTCCACAGGTATCCCACTTTTTGCATCCTGGACTAGCAAACAAATACACGTGTGCATCTCCTTCAAGGACTATCATAACCTGTTGAATAAATAGATATTGTTTGACTGTTTCTGTTCAACTGTTTCAACATCATCTCAACAAAATGTTGTTGCGCGTTTTATTCTTTAATTTCTTTGTTAATTGTGAACAAAATATAATGGTCTTAATTTATATTTGCCTGAATTGAAAAGTGAAGAAAAGATGTCAAGGAAATGTGATCGAAAGAAGAAACAAATTAATATACGAAACCCATTTTGTCTTGTTTTTGTACCAAATATGAACAATATTAGTAAAGTATGTCAGAAAAATGTGCAAAGAAATTTGAAAATAAAACAAAACAGCTGCCAGGGGGTTACATTTTGAATCGTCAAAACTCCAAAACTGAATAGAAACCACAATCTTGTCTTTGTAGCAAATTTTAACAAAAAAGGTAATTACAAGTGTCAGAAAAAATTGGGAAGGACATATAGAAAAAAAAATGGCTGCCAGTCAGCTATTTTGAAACAAACTGTCGTGCATCAGCAAGGCATTATGGGTAGTAACAAAATATGCCTGAGAAATGGTTTATAGTAATTTGAAATGTTTTTCCAACCAAAACTGCCACCAATCTGTCAAAGGCAAGGAAAAAAATCCATTTTGTCTTTGTACATTGATTTCAAACTTTGAGGACCCCTAATATTTTGAAATTGTCAAACGAATGTAACAAATTTTAAAAACTTATTTCACTACATCCTACACAACAGGGACAATCTGTTGAGATTATTATTACAGTATACCTTATGTCCACATCCACCCACTCTGAGAACTTCATCCGGTTTGAAGGAGTCGATGGCTTCTTGTACAGTCGGGGTTGGATGAGATCGAGTAGTGGTGATGATTGTCTTATCTTTTGGCAGTGGTTTGTGTGTAAAACCATATGATCCAAGTCCTTTGATTCCCCAACAAGTACGCCCTAATTTAACATCGTCGCCCTTGACATTGTAGTTGAAATATGGTTGATGTATAACGCCGGCAGCTGATTGGCCATCAACAGCAATACCAATAAGTACAGTCACATGGTCCAGTAGTCCTAGTGTGAAATGATGTAAATATTACATTAATACATAGCTTGCTGAAAGCCTCTATGGATAGCAAAAATGAATGGCAAAAAAAAGCGACCACAGATGATGCGTTATCGAGTTTTATTATAACTATAACATTTTTAATCTTAACCACGTTATATGCAACATATACTGTGTTTGAATTAAAATAAATGTCTGCCACATGTACATCAATATGTCATAATATTACATCCATTACTCTGAAATTTTGCTCAACTATAATTGCCTTCATATTGGGTTAAAATACTCCCAGAAGTACCAGGGTGTGTCACGTTTTGAGGTCGTGCATAAAAAACATCTATTAAGCCATATTAAAGTGGGGGAGTTGTCACCTGTGCACGTGTCAGATGGCCATAGCATCTACTCATGAGCCTTTGCGTTTTTAGCGCATGTTGTTATCGTTGCTTGGGACTCAATTTCTGCGCGTGCGCAGGTGACAATCCTCCCGCTTTAAATTTTGCTGTAAAAGTTTGGAAAGTACATCGATCGTCACCACGTTCAGCCATTGCACAGAGCAAAAAAGTCAATGTTTTTTGAATAGTAATGAAAATGGTTGAATGTCACTATTAAACATTACCAGCTACATGTTTATGCTAGACTCTAACCAGTACTTAAATATAAAACACTCCAAAATTATGTACGAGTCTGACAATGAATTCTACATTCATATACTTGCCTTCAATGTACTCCTGAGTTCCATCTAAAGGATCAATCCATACAACAATCTGAAACAAACATCACATGGTTTTAGACACATTTCACGTGGCTTTCATGCAGCAGTCACTGGTAGTTTATTTCATATTTGGCTACAATAATGTCAGTGTACAGTCAAAACTAAGAAGTAGTTTATGTACAATAATGGTAAGGTCAAATAAAGTGTAATTTTGGTAACATTGAAAACATAAGTAGGGTAGGAGTAACTATTTAATCTTAACTTTATTTTATTTTATAAAAATTAATTATTCTCAATTTATTATTCTGCAGTGCTGCATTTTTTTTTTCAATATTACACGACATCTTGCATGTACGGGTTGACATTTTGGTCAAAGAATTTCAAGTAGAGCTGAAAAGGGTACCTACAAGTGCCCATTTTCCTGTTCGGCAAGAAAAAGATGCAGGGTTGGCCTGAAGTCGAGTTATCGGAAATGCATTATTTTTTATTTGGCCCCATTGGCCAAGTTGTACATTTGCTACCCTAAAAAGATTTAAATGTATGTGCCACATACACTAGAATGGAGAATTGTTTGTTTCTGTTTCACCTTTTAATGTATTTATTCAAAAGCATTACTGTAAAATGACTAATTTTCACTGGGTTTAAATTTTGCTGATTTAGCTTTTCAGGAATATTCAGTGGGTTTTAATTTAGCGCATTTCCCAGTCAGCAAAATAAGCAAAATTAAAACCCAGTGAATAATTAACTCTTTTACAGAATCTAACTAGAAAACAAACATTTGTTGATAACTTAAGATTTATATCGCACAAACCATAAATGACAAGATTGATTTAGTCTCCCACAATTCGAGTCACTGATGTGATTTGCCCTTAGAAACGTTCAGTCCCTAATGAGAGCCTCGAACTACTAGCTGTGATTGGGTTGTAAATATATCCTTCCACTAAATATAAATTTTTACCCAAATCATTCATGTTTTCTATGTTTTTTGAAATTATGCTTAATGCAATAGTAGTTATACATTTGTTTTATACAAATAAAACTTGTAGTACATCTGTCACCTGACTATATATGAAGGGACTACTTCTTTGAAGAGGAATTGAGTTTTCACAGAAGCAATGACAATACCTCGCAAAAATGAATACTTATTTTGCCAGATAAATGTTAAACGTACAAATCTCATATTGAATAATCTTAAAATGGAAGCCAAGTTTTAAATCATATTTACTACTATTTTACTTTCCAATTATTTTGACATATTTGCATACCTTGTGATGTTTTTACAGAGGGGAAAAAAAATAGTCAGAGGAAAATACTAAATTATTAGTAAAATGTAATTACTTTTACTATACATATTTACTAGCAATTAAATTATTTTCCCTGGAATTTTAAATAATCAGAACTGAAAAAAGAATTGCTCCAGACTAATGTCAACCACAACTCTATATTGCAGACCGCCCTCTAGTGACTGCCTAGTCTCATGTCATCGTCACGGTGATAGATCTGTGTACCATGCCTGACATGTGTACCTTTGTACACGGACAAAGATAAACAAAGATAAGGTTATCATATATACAAAGAGATAAGGTTATCATAAGCATGTACACCCTGTTAGACAAAGAGTTCCACATTCACGTAAAACAAACTTCTTTTCACCTATAAACCACATACATGATTGCAATTGTGGAAAGGTACGATTAGGATAACAGAAATGAGCGAAGTACTGGGGATCTTCATCGCAAGTTGCCATGGTTACATGCAAAGTAAAACTTAACTATTTTTGCCATTTAAATCATGGTCCACTATTACAACATATGATGATTCAGTCGCTAACCTGTTCTGGTTTAACATTCTTGTATTGATCCGGGCATTTACTAGCACATGCCATCACTTCATCTGATTTACCATTGTACACAAGGTTTTCATCATTACACTTTTCCATTTCCTGTAGCGAAAACAAAATGACAACAATCATCAACTGACGATCTTATTGTCATGTGACAACACTGCCAATTTTTTCTTATCCATTTCTTGATTTATTATTATGTTTATCTTTGAATAATTATTTGTGTCAGGTAGTTCCAAACATTGAACATCACCATTTTTTTTATTTTTTTTACGAAAAAAACAGACTAAAGATGAAATACATATAGGCCCATGGATATTGAATATGTTTTTTTAAAAGTTGTTTTTCCAAATACTTCAGTGACTACAGTTCAGTGGTCCACCTGCAGTGAAGAGGTGCTATGCAATGTGCGAGAGTTTGAATCAAGTGTTCCATGTTATGTCAATGTTTGCCTGTAATTATTTCTATGAATCCTTTTAACTGATTTGCTGGGAGAGAGAATTCAAGCCTTAAAAACTACCCTATAATGCGTTTTCAGCCCTGTGCAAAATGTGTTGATTGTTTATTAAATCTATTCACACAGAAGGCAACTTTATGAAGTTATAATGCATCCAATGCTAATGGTTTCAGTTACACACAAACACTTGATGTAAAGCAATATTTGCTACGTTTTTTTTCATGTACATTAAGTGGACCCCAAACACTGTTCTTTGACCTCTTTGACCTTGTTATTTTTAACAATCAGAATGCTGGTGTCAGTTGAGCGTATCCCAGTGATTTATTGATCTTTTGGCATTGATAGCAATATCCAGGGCTTCTTTGTAGAAGACAGTAAATTTAGTTATGTTTGAAAGATAAACTGAGCATTGAATATGCATTTCATACTTTTTTTATAGATGTTCACATTTGTCACAATAGAAGTTTTACACCGGCCTAATTTAGGCACCAGGAGAGTTTGAAATGTTCTAACAATGACACCTGCATGCAGGTTAGAAATACTTGCAATAGATGTACAGTACTTTGTGAAAACGTTTGTAGAATCATTTTTATTTTATGCATAACCAGATTATTTCAACCAAAGATCAATAAAAATAAAAAATAAAATTTTAAAGTTACCCCAGGTTATTCAAGGCTAAATTAACTCTTCAAAGTTTTTTCAAAATCACAAATAATAAATCTTATCAATTTGCTTTGGGCACTATTTTGTACCTGTAGAATACTCAGGCTACCTTTGTTTTATTGTTGAACCCAAGTTAGTATTTAAACCCAGGGAATATCATGGGTACCACAATCTCCCAGGTTAAGAAATTTGTAATAAATCATTAGATTTTAAAAAATAATTATTCGTACCTCTTCTCCAATAATTGTAATACCGGGAAATTGTCTCCCAAGTGATGTCGCTATACACATCTGGACTTTACGGTCGGCCTCTGTCTGGAGATCTTTGATATGCTGCAAAGTAAAAATAATCACAAAAAATATGTATTAAGTATATGCTATAATGGCAGACCATGACTCAAGTTTTTTTTCATCAATTGAACCTTTTACAATTTATTGTCTATGATCACATTTACAATGAGTTTCTTTAGACCAATAAACCATACAAACATTTGTATTCGATCACAAAAAACCGCAAAGCCTGTCGTGAATACTGTACAATAAGAATTAGGAAACCACAAATTTGCATCTATCAGCAAACTGACGTTTCCCAGTTATTAACTACCGTCTCAAATTACATTAATTTGTACTATGCTGTAATTATGCACCACAGTCATATACCCTGCCCCAAATAAAACATTGACAACTTTCAACCAGAATCTCATTAACCTAGTGTTATAGCGCCCTCATTGCAAAGTTCTGCTAGGGTTTCCCCATTACTAAAGTGATAGGAGACAGTGCTCTCATTGTAGGGTTCTCTATCACCATGGTGATAGGATGCGGCAGCCTTATTGTAGGGTTCTCTATCACCATGGTGATAGGATGCGGCAGCCTCATTGTAGGGTTCTCTATCACCATGGTGATAGGATGCAGCAGCCTCACTGTAGCGTCCTCCATTAAACAGATGATATGTTGTGGTATTTCAAAACTGCCCAAGTACATAACAAGAGATTCAAAAATTGAATTACTTTGAGTCATTAGTTTGAAGTACATCAATGTAAGTTGGAGATATAGTCGAAACAAACCTATATGTACAAAGCATTGTGGGTAAAATTACGCTGTGGGTCAAGTATAGCTACTATGGCAGTACAGTACACAGACAAGTGTCATTAATAAAACACTACTAAAGACATAAACCCAGTTATGATACACGGACAGGTGCAGAAGTTAGTTCAGAGTACACACATGATAAACAAATCAGTAAACAAGTACATGCGGATTTCAACCTAGAGGTGACTGCAAGTTTTTGATGTCTAAGAATACACAAGATGTGGGTCAACAAGTCGTTCATAAATTACACAATTTGAATGGATAGAACTACCACCCCTTGAAACCATGGATTGAAACAACTCTTCCCCTCTCTTCCCCTTTCCTTTCCAACCCCTCCCCTTACCCTTCCAACCCCTCCCTTCTCCTTTCCCAACCCTACCCTACCCCCAATTAACATTTGTCTTCACATCATTATAGTCCCCATTTGGAACCAACAAAGACTAACAATATGATCATTTGACATGAAAATATATCATTCCACAAGAATAAAACCTAGAAACAAAATGGCAAGTTTATTCCTCCCAACGGGTTGAGATGTATTGCACGCTATGACCCACATATACAGTAAAGAATACACCTACACATGAATACATCAAGGTCAACGTTCAGTACACATATTTCATTCTGTCATGTATTCATTGCCAACAATATGCATTGGAAGCCTCAGGATCTGACCTTGTACAGTCCCAGTTTTCCTAGGGTAGTAGTGGGAGGGTGGGTATATATACTAAACCATCCAAATTCCACACACACTTTTATGGAATGGAATACAATAGAAAATCTATAATTTGCTGTGATTTGGAATCAATAGGGCAAGACTCCCTCAAACACAAGGGTTGATAGATTAGGTTTTAAGAAACCCCCCTCCCCCATATGGTATAGTCCTACATTTTCAAACAATTATGTACACCTTTTACAGTTTCTTTTGTTAACTTTGTCGGTAAAAAGTTACGGTCACACCTGACTGCATATATTCCCAGGCCCTGCTAAAGTACAAGTTACTGCAAACTGCTTTAAAGCGACAAATTTCGCAGTCAGAAAAAATTGTGCAAGAGTGTCAGTGATTTTTGCAAAATACATTTTCCTGAATGTGTTAGTATACTGAAATTATGAACACTGAACGGTTTACAGTAGGTGAAAGTTCATAACAATATCATTGCGAATGCACAAGGATAACATTAACTGGCCAGGTTTTTCAATTACTCCAGACCAAAGGGTATATCATTACATTACATTCCTTATCTTGCCAAGTTCTTGATGCGCCAATGTTTCTATGCAAATTTACTATTCGTGGTTGATATTTAACATTACGAAAGTCTTATCACTTTGTTTGAATGACATATTGCTTCTTAAATTTGATAACACAACATTTGGAAGTCTGCTAAAGGTGGGTTAGCATGAAAAGTAATGATTGTGAAACTTTATTCATTTTTCTGTTCATCAAGCTATTAAAAAAAATATTGATTACCACTGCACAGCGCCCTCTGTTGACAAATTCAATAAACCTGCAACATTTATTGACTGCCTAATTTAGTGAAAAAAAAATGCTCCAATTTCGCTGCCCTGTTTTTTTCAAAATTTCACTAGAAATTTTTTCGATGACAACTTTGACTGTTGCAGATCAATACACAAAAAAAAAAGAGGCATTATAACACTACACAAGGTTTAACTGGATAATTTGATACCAACTAGTTAGAACATAAAAAATGCAAAATTTAAATATATCGTTAATGCATATCATTATACTACAAACTTTATAATTTGAAAGGTAGTTAAATCCAGGCAAAGTATACAACAATGATGTCACACCTGTAGTGGATAGATAACACGCGTGTTGACTTAACCTATTGTATGAATGTATTTAGGTCACATGGGCAATATTGAAACAATTCATTCCATCAGCCAAAAGAAACCCCTCGTTTCATATGGAATTGAAATTTATAAATTTTTATAAAAAAAAAACACGATTTTGGTCGTTATAGTAGTATGGTGAACTTAATTCATGATTATGTTAGGATTAATAGTCAATAGTAGCGTTCACTCAAAGGTAATCACCACGAGCTAAGAGATCAAACGCGTTATTCTGTGACACCTGCATGAAAATGTAGTATGGGTAGTATGCTTTAAAGAACCTTACAGGCTTAATTAAGTGCACGCAAACTGATTTAGCGCCCACTGTGATGAAACATGACAAAAAAACTCCATTTTGGTATATCATTTCCAACACATCAAACAAGGTTGGATCACCAGAGCTTTTAATTCTGCAGCTTGCACTTTAAAAGTTAAAGGCCGATGGTCGCCGCATGGAGCATGTTCAAATTTGTGGTAAACAATGTAATTAACAAATTATTAGTTACATACATTGTATCTAACAAGATGCGGCATGATGACCACAGTTCTTTAAAAGAACTGAACAATTTTTCATGTAAGTATGGTTGTCGCTTAAACTGTACTGAATGTAGGTCTCTCCATGTACGAGCTTAACTGGGTCAAGCAGATACAAACATGGAATTAGTTTTAATCTTAGTCCGTACGAGAGCGGTACAAGAGCGTAATCTGAACACGGGTAATGTGTGTATTTTGGGATTTATGCGACCACTGTTAATATTCAACAGATACAACAGTACAGTGTTGGTTGTAATTACACATCAAAGGTCAAAAGGGCATAAGATGCTTAATGGGAATTTAATAATCAGTCAAAATCAATATCAGCTGGTGAATTCATGAATGTTGATTGAAGAGGAAACTTTATGGTGAGGGTACTCGTTTCAACTCTGGGTAGTAGTGGGAGGGGCATTACACTATTTAGTCAGATCTAAAGCTCATTTACAATATTTCAGTTGTACATTAACATGTTCAGGCTATAATGTATACATTACATGCATGCACCTCTAATAAATATGCAATGGTTGTCATTACTTAGAGAATGTGTGTTTTTTTTAAAAAAAAACACATCGCATCATTTTGACATGCTCCTTTTCCCCATACGTCTTCTCATTTTGGGTTCCAGGGCAGTGACAAATTGTAAATTGAACAATTTAAGAACGAGTCCTTTTAAATTATGTATTTTGTAATCAAATACACCTAACTCAAAGTGACGTTTAGATGAAATCACGACATTTTAAAGCTAACTATGCTTCGAGGGTACACTCCCTGTTGCCGGCTACATAGGTAAACTCCCAAACAGTCCGAACCAATCTACAAAAACGGACCCTGGAGCACTCATGCAACCATGCAGGACCGCACATGACAAACAAGCCGCATGGTAGTCAACTTACTGTTTTTTGAATAATTCCAAGTTCCCCTTTCTTCATAATATCTCTAACAATTTCCCCGGCCTTATTGGCAACTGCCACCGAAGCGGCTTCTAGCTGTATAAGTAGTGGTGCGTCGCTGGCCATCTTGTAGCGTGAATTTCGGTGAACTTGCGTGGAAATGCTGCAGAGGCGAAATGGACCCAATGTGCACAAGCTGGCGAGATTATAAAAGAGAGAGAGAAGTCAAAGTATTTGCATATGACTGTGTCGGAATATTCCACTATCGCAGTCTAGACAAGTACGTACGTACTGGGAACAAGTACGCAGGTACAGATTCAGATGGTCACCAAGATATAACTGCCCACCTTATTTTCAGCGATCGAGAAGAGATGTTGAATACAGCGGGTAAAGTACGCAGCATTAACTCAACAACACCAAACGCAGTGATAGCATCCAGCGAAAGGCAAATCTAACACGTGTGACCAGCGAAAAGGTCATTGAGCCACGCCCACCATGGGGGCGCTGTAACGCACGCACAATAAAGATAAATAAATTAGGAATATATAGAAAACTGTGGGGAAAACAACGAAATTTAAACAAATAATTACGTAAGTAAAGTGAATAAAACAATTTTAAATATGCTAGAAAATCTCACAATCTGCTCACAATAATTTTATCGGCAGGAAATCCTAAAATATAATTCCACAGCTTCTCGCAATAACACAAACCTTATTGTACCATTTTAAGTATTCGGAAAGTATGTATATGATAATATAGCAGATAATAGAGCTAGCCAGTAAACCCATTGATAACTGATAACAAATTCCCATATTTTTTTTATTTTTATATATATATATATCATTATTATATCGATTATTCTATCAATATTGTACACTGAAAGACAATACTCCAATAATGATACAATTACACTAATATTACTTTACACATTACACCATGGTCAGAGCGAAAAAAAGAGAATGAAAAAAATATAATATATAAGTAGGCTCCAGTAGCCTCTAACATAAATGGTCGATTATAATTAACCTTCAAACCTTCTTATCATTGATTAATTGGCTGTTATCTTTCGACTGTATGCGTTGGCCAGTATATATGTTTGATTTTACAAGAAATACTTCAAGTTCTGTTGGCAAGAAGTAAACACAATCCACATACATGAGGGTTGGCTATTCCAAATACATTGAAATATAGTAACTACCTAACACAAAAGATACACACAATTCAGTATAATTATTTTTATCATTATTAATCGCGATCGAAACCTGATCATTGCGTCATTTATTGTATTCACTATAATAAATCCCGTCATGCATTGCTGTTCATATTCTTTCTAAACCAATCGCTAATCACAACGAATCTAGATATGCCGGATGTACGTAATGTTCGATCGGACGCTGCGGTGCTCCCTGGGGGTGCCCCAGAGAGCACCCCCAGGGTTAAAGTATACTGGTATGTGCTGCTCTTTTGACCCTTCCCTTTCACGGGGTTTTCGGCCATTTCAGCAAAATGTAGGCAATTTATGGTGAAAAAAAAAATTTCGTTCTGTGAATTTACTGACCCAAATCGCGAAAAAAACAACATCAACAAAATCGTTTTGTCTCGATTCAAAGTTTTCTCTGGTGAGTGTTTTCTGGCAATAATCCTAATATTCAAAAAACAACTTTAAGAAAACCAAATGTTTAAGAAATGACTAATATCCCACCACAAATACTGAAGACCGACACAAGAAGAGCTATGAAATCAGGTTCGACCTGCAGGTGGTCACGTGATTACTGAGTAAATATAACTCATTTCACATGAGATAAAGACCAAAACTTGACGTCAACACCTGAATACGTGACGTCAGCACCTGAGTACGTTGCGCTAACAGCTGAGTACGTGACGTCAGCACCTGAGTACGTTGCGCTAACAGCTAAGTACGTGACGTCAACAACTGAGTATATAACTCATTTTACTTGAGACAAAGACCAAAACGATTACTTGACGTCAACACCTGAATACGTGACGTCAGCACCTGAGTACGTTGCGCTTACAGCTGAGTACGTGACGTCAACAACTGAGTATATAACTCATTTTATTTGAGACAAAGACCAAAACGATTACTTGACGTCAACACTTGAATACGTGACGTCAGCACCTGAGTACGTGGCGCTAACAGCTGAGTACGTGACGTCAAAAGCTGAGTATGTGACGTCAGGACATCGGCTTGTGAAAATTCAACAATCAACTATCAAAATTTTAAAAAACGCGGATGTGGAGAGACCTTTCAGGGTTCCGTGTAATAATAACAATTAACTTTAATAATAATGATACAGCATATTTCAACCAAAGATATCAAATATGACTCAATTTGACTTTTTCAGTTTTCTGGTTACTGAAAGTGGAAATCAATTCAAAGTGATGTAATTATGACTATGACTACAGCACGTACGAAAAAAAACTAAATGTACTATGGTATTAGTAGTAGTGACATTTGTAGAGAGATATTCATCGTGACGTCATCCCCTCTATCATTCACGAGCAATATGAAGTTTATAATCTGACATAAGATATTGTTAAGAAACAATTCTATTCCATTAAATATTTCCACTTCGTTCAACAAAAAAACAAAAACGTAAGTTGGCCATAACTCTAAGCTCTGTTAACTGTTAATTGAACATCGGGTAACAATTTGGGCGTGGTTTTGCCAAGGTGGGCGTGGTTTCCTAAATAAGGACGTGGTCATTTTTGTAACTCGATATCCGTAACTCGAACAGATAAGCAGCTCATATTCTGCACACACAATAGACCATTTTTCGTTCACTGCGATAATCACGCGTTATGCGTGAAATCGAATGTAAAAACAGGACAAACAAAGGTCATAGCGTCGTAGTGGCGTCAAACATCGCGTGAGATTCGACAAACGCGAAAGTATTTTGGGGAATATTTCCATGTCAATAATGTGCTGTACACATTTGATGATGGGCAATTTCGATTAAGTGAGGATATTCGAATGCAATATTCCTCTGTCGAAGATCGGCCGGTCGATGTGCGCTACGAAATAAAGAAATTCGAGTTCAAAATCAAATCGTTCGATTTTTGCGGCAGACGTTCGACGCGCGTCTTTCATGCATCTCGCGAGATCTCGCAGTTGTACGGAAAATCACCTATTGATTCAACCTAAATGTCTTTTAGTTTTATTTATTTTGCATAGAACAAATAGAAAGTGCGAAAATGTCATTGGCATACTTGATGTTTATTGCAAGCTATATTCCCCGCGAGCAATTCTAGAACACGCATGATCGCATAATAATATCGCATACTTTAAAACATTTGACAAGTACACCTGGTGTATTGAGTTGGTTGGAATCGTGTAAACAGTTAATATAATACTATAAACTGGTACACTGACATGCGGAAAATGATATATAAACAGTACTGAAGGCGCATTTAAGGGAAATAAAGCGAGAATGAAATGCGGAAACTCTGTATAGTATGCGGCGTCTGTGATTTTTTTTTTTACAAAGACGAGAGCCACCATATCATTTTAATACAAGAACACTGGCTTACTCAAACCGAACTTCCTCCGTCTTCTCTCAAATATACACTACCAAATGCTGTTTCGACCTTCAGTTTATTGAGCAACAATATATTAAGTACTGGTTGACCGTATGGGGCGCTGCTGTATTGTGAGGCAAATCAACCTCAGTGAGTCTTTTCACGTATTTGCTTGCCAATATAACGACGATAGACTATTAGGCCTTCATCTTCAAAATGAGAGTATAATTATATGTTTCCTGGATGCTTACTTTTCTGTGAATTGGCATGATAATGGCTATTGTTATATGAACTATCTCTCGAAAATAAATAGTATCATTGACGTTCATTGATGATTGGAGTGGGGATCCCCCAAAAAATTCTGTTACGTTCTATCGGACTATGTAATCTTAGACAGTTATACAGATCCGTTCATGCACACCAGAAAAGAATAGAATTTTGCATAATTTTGTTACTTTCTAACATTTTCTATTGTCTCTCCCGGAGAATGATGCTTCAAAACAAAATGCGAACTAATTGGACTAAAGTTTACACCATGAGAAATGTATATCGTTACAAATATGATATATGACAAATTTCTTAAACAAAATGAATCAACATTCCGTCTGAAGCTATATTGTGCAATTAATATTTGTGTAACTGGACTGAACATAAAATATTTTATAAGTTTTTGGATGAAATTATGCAGCCTCTGTGTAGCGCTTATTTATGTTGCCGCCGTTGGGAGAAATGATATCGCAAATTCGACAGTACTTATATCTACAGAAACTTGCATCAAGCTGATTCATTCAACTTTTGTCACTAAACGGGACTAGTGCAATGCTCTGCTATATAGCTTACCAACTGCACAGCTAAATCAGTCACAAAAAGCCCAGAATAGTGCTGCTCGTATCATTACTCGCACACAAACTTTGATCATATAACACCAATACTCCAACAGTTGCGCTTCCAGTCACTTACAGAATTCAATTCAAAATACTCCTCATTACTCACAACGCTCTACATCAGTTGGCTCCGCCATACATTTCTGGTCTCATACAACACATTAATCCTGGTAGAGCTCTTTTCTATAGAAACAAGCGATTACTCAAAGCACCAAAAAACAGACTTAAATCATATGGTGACCGATCATTCTCACATTCATCTCCTTCACTATGGAATTATCTACCATAAGAAATTCGCACAGCACCAAATGTTCACACATTCAAATCCAGATTGAAAACTCATCTTTTTCATCGAGCATTCTTGTGAACCATTTATTATTGTTATCTTTAGACTGTATGCGTTGGCCATTATATTTGTTTCAGGTACTTCAGGTTCTGTTTGCAAGAAGTAAACATCAATCCATATTCCATATACATTGAAACTAACTAACACAAAAGATACACACAATTCAGTATAATTATAATAGCAATAATAATAATAATAATAATAATAATAATAATAATAATAATAATAATAATAATAATAATAATAATAATAATAATTATTATTATTATTATTATTATTATTATTATTATTATTATTATTATTATTATTATTATTATTATTATTATTATTGTGATATTCCTGTATTGAGTTGGTTGGGGTCGTGTAAACAGCTAACATATAGCACGTATATAATATAGAACTAAACACGTTACGTTACGATATAATACTACAAACTTGTTCACTGACATGCGGAAAATGATATATGAACAGTACTGAAGGCGCATTTAGACTGAATAAAGTGAGAATGAAATGCGGAAACACTATTGTATGCGTCAAAATTCGCATTGTAATAATATTTCCGATATTTAAAAATTCGGCTTTGGTAAATCGCTTTGATGCTGGTCCATGGTTTTCCGCCCGAGGATTTCATGGAAACAAAACAAATAACCTGATATGTAAGAATAACTATGGGCCTATCGTCATCTCCACTGTCCCCTCTCTTGGATTTTGGAACCTATTAACTTCGATCGAAGTCGCAGTTTCTCAAACACGGATGATGCTCAATTTGGGATTAAATATGGACACTCATTTGACGTGTGTATTTATGATGTAAACAAAATATTGGCTATTGTTCATATTATACCTCTGTAAATGCATTTGACCGCGTCAAGCATTGGTCCCTGTTTACAAAGCTGATTTACAGTGATCTACCGAGTTATTTCATTTTAAAGCGCGGTAGTCGTCGCGCTGAGCATGTGCGAGATATATGGGTCTCATATAAACAAAGATGGCGACTTTGACTGTTGCGCAGATCAACGAGTACGAACAGACACGTTTCCAAGCTTTAATTAGGTAATTTTCATGTGATTGGAAGGTATCGAAGGAGTCACCGGCGGTAATCAGTGCAAGTCGAGCCCAGGTCAAACCTCATACTTGTGATTTCCACTTGAAGAGCGCATTGGATTGTGGGAAAATCAATGTTTATCAACACAAATGTCGAACATGCGCAGCGCGACGACTACCGAGCTTTAACTTCTGAGTACTTTATTTTTTGTTGAAAACAGCAATATTATTCCCCTTTTACTTTTCAATGTATATAATGATGACGTAGTTTAAGTTGCGTGGGAAGATTTTTATCAACCATCTGATAAATGCCGATGACTTTGTTATTTTGAGCCGTTGATCCGCGGTTTGCGAACTCTTGTTAATGCTTGTTATGAACATAGCTTGGACATTGATAACATTTACCACCTTGAGACGTCTGTACGTATGTACTTTATTCCTCGGATGAGTGCTCTTAGAAGCAGTGCACTTCCCCCCTGTATAACCTGGTGACTCTAAGCCTAGAATTGTGCTTAAACACGTCTATTTAAGATATTTAGTTACTGATAACTGTGTAGATGACGAGGATATAAAATGATAGATTTGAGTATTTGACAGCAGAGCCATTATAATTCCGTCGTTTCGAGAATAAAGATCTGCAGTTAATACCTCCGTACTTCCGTTAGCCTTCTTCATTGTGACATATGCAAGTTAACAGTCTGAGGCTTGGTCTCTAGTCTCAGTTGAATATGACCATGACGCAATTTCCCGTGCACATTCATATTTCCACGAATACTTTCGACGTTATAGCGCAGGAGACTCCTGGAAAAGCGAGTCCATAGCACACCCGGCAGTCATAGCCGAAATGCAAACAAGGACAACCAATCATAATACCTCATTTTTGGTGTAGTATTACGGCAGGTTTCTTTCATTTGTAGGGCGGGTGCCTTGTTTCAATTCAAGTACGTACCAATTATTTATCTAAAATTTTAACGACATTAAAAAAGATGCGATGCTTGTGTCTAGACTTTATTTCAATTTAAAAATTATTTTTAGTTGAGTATTTGTAAAAATTTATCTAGTAACGTCCATCAAGAAAAAGTATAATACGACTAGACATGGCGTTACATTATTTTTATTAAATTCCATTCAACACATGGTCGTCGTACAGTTAACAATATAAAGTTATTATAGTGTATTTACAAACATGTATGTTCTCTGCATGGAATGGCTTGCCCACTCACAGTAATTTATATTACTACAAATAAAAAAGGTGACAGAAATGCTACATAGCAAATCGAAGTGAACAAAGGCATATTTTGTAAATGGGATGGAATATTGATTGGCATTTTGTTTCTGTATTCGTAAATATTTACAAGACGGGCAGTAAAAATGAGCTGATTCACCCCGACACTGTAATCACGTGCCTGTAATAAACAAAAAATAACATATTACGTTACAATATAGAAAGTATGTAGTATAGAACTAAACACGTTACGTTACGATATAACATGTATATAGTATAGAACTAAACACGTTACGTTACAATATAGCACGTATATAGTATAGAACTAAACACATACGTTACAATATAGCACGTATATAGTATAGAACTAAACACGTACGTTACAATATAGCACGTATATAGTATAGAACTAAACACGTTACGTTACAATATAGCACGTATATATAGTATTTGAACTAAACACGTTACGTTACAATATAGCACGTATATAGTATAGAACTAAACACGTACGTTACAATATAGCACGTATATAGTATAGAACTAAACACGTTACGTTACAATGTAGCACGTATATATAGTATATATAGTATTTGAACTAAACACGTAACGTTACAATATAGCACGTATATAGTATAGAACTAAACACGTTACGTTACAATATGGCACGTATATATAGTATTTGAACTAAACACGTTACGTTACAATATAGCACGTATATAGTATAGAACTAAACACGTACGTTACAATAAAGCACGTTTATAGTATAGAACTAAACACGTTACGTTACAATATGGCACGTATATATAGTATTTGAACTAAACACGTTACGTTACAATATAGCACGTATATAGTATAGAACTAAACACGTACGTTACAATATAGCACGTATATAGTATAGAACTAAACACATACGTTACAATATAGCACGTATATAGTATAGAACTAAACACGTACGTTACAATATAGCACGTATATAGTATAGAACTAAACACGTTACGTTACAATATAGCACGTATATATAGTATTTGAACTAAACACGTTACGTTACAATATAGCACGTATATAGTATAGAACTAAACACGTACGTTACAATATAGCACGTATATAGTATAGAACTAAACACGTTACGTTACAATGTAGCACGTATATATAGTATATATAGTATTTGAATTAAACACGTAACGTTACAATATAGCACGTATATATTATAGAACTAAACACGTTACGTTACAATATGGCACGTATATAGTATAGAACTAAACACATTACGTTACGATATAGCACGTATATAGTATAGAACTATACATGTTACGTTACGATATAGCACGTATGTAATATTGAACTAAACACGTTACGTTACGATATAATATGTATAGTATAACGGGTGTAACAAATATAATTGTCAAGCTCGCGTATGGCAAAGTAGATAATACTAACCCATTTCGATATCATAGAGCCATCCGACTTCCGTTTCCGTAAGTTCTCGGTAATGAATTTTAAGCTCGCTAACCGCAGAGATACTACGCTCGCTCATTGACGAAGGGTCGTCATTTGGCCCTCCTAAATTAAGACCTGAAATATACAATACGTAGACTTTCAAGGAGTATACTAATGCCACGTCACAAATTCTATGGGGAATTCGATTCAAAATTACAAAAAAATTACACAAAATGGGTAAAATGTTGCACCCAAACTTCATAAAATTGTTAACGTAATATTTCGACCCGTAATAGAAAGTCATTAGTTTATTACTTGTATAGTCGTATGTATCCAATGTCATTTCTTCTGTCCCTTGAGTGGGAGCTTGTAGAGCGCCATCAACGTATATATTTCCCAGATTGGTGGTACTAAAAGTCACAGTTAAGTAGAACCACGTGTTCTGTGGGAACCAATCAAAGGAGCTCAAATGTCTGTTGAGAGTGTTTCTATCTTTCCTTATAATGGCGGCCCAGACCATGGAAGTGGACGTCGCCCCATCTGTGGTCCAAACAGCGAATCCTCTTGACTTGGCAGTCTGCCCACCCGATGAGAAGATATACCGAGTACCGTTATTTACTGATGCATCGATGTTCAACCAAAATGAGATAGTTGCACCTTCGGGGCACAGATACACGTCCGATAGGCATTCCCCGTTGAAATCATTTAAAAATAAAATGTTCTGTGCATCGTTATATATGGAACACAAATGTCTATTAACAACCGCTGGTGGCGAGGCCGTGAGCTGAATCGGATAAAAGTTCACGGGAGCTGCGTCGTAAATGTTTCCATCACGTGACTGTATCATTTCATATACGGTAGCACACGGGGTTCCAGTACAATCGACTGGATCAGGATCTGAGGAAGAGCATTTGCCGGACAACTCCCAGTGGTAGTTTGGTGATGGGTCTGTGGTGGTAACAAAATAGAGACATGTCAGTGTGGTTTGTGGTTTGGCATGGCGTGATGCAGTGTTGTGTGATGAGATGTGGCGCGGCGTGCTATGGCATGATGCAGTGTAGTGTGATGATATGTGGTGCGGCGTGCTATGGCATGATGCAGTGTTGTGTGATGATATGTGGTGCGGTGTGCTATGGTGTGATGCGGTGTTGTGTGATGATATGTGGTGCGGTGTGCTATGGTGTGATGCGGTGTTGTGTGATGATATGTGGTGCGGTGTGCTATGGCGTGATGCGGCGTTGTGTGATGAGATGTGGTGCGGCGTGCTATGGCATGATGCAGTGTTGTGTGATGATATGTGGTGCGGCGTGCTATGGCATGATGTGGTGTTGTGTGATGAGATGTGGTGCAGTGTGCTATGGTGTGATGCAGTGTTGTGTTATAAGATGCGGTGTGGTTTGCTATGGTGCAGCGCATAATCTGATTAAAATCCGGTATAGGTATAGGTTTCTTTTGTTATTGTTATTTTAGTTTTGAATATTACTAGTAGACTTAAAAGCAATGTTAAAAACAAAGAAACAAATTTATTGTTGATAAGACAAACTAGGCACTAAGGTTGTCGATAAAGATTCTCACAAATTATGGTCGCTGTTGCCTCCACCACACAGTGGTCCGTCACATAATATATCTAAAGACTAAGTATTTTTCCAATTTATTTAAATCAAATATTTCTAACATTAATAATTTTAACGATTACAACGTACAGAAATATCTGTGTGACCAAGCTCTGAAGGCTATATTTTCAGTAAAAACATCGCTCTCTAAATGTAGGGAGGTATCAGTTTGAAACCATTATGTCTAGTTTCCAAGGAAACATTTTACCAATTGTAACGAAGAACAGGATTTTACAAAGCAAAGGATATTAAACAAGTTTTTTTAAACATGTCATATAACGCTATAAACCTCGCTGCTAGGGGTGAGCTAGTTTAACCGAGTTTAAAGTCGCGTAGGCTTGAGAAAATTACCAAATATTGGCTACGTATTCTAAAAATGTAGAACGATCGCTACGTTTTTGAGTGCTACAAATTTCAACTTCACCAAGCAAACAATAATTAACAATAATGTTTCGCTCGTAATTTGAAATTAATGTTATTTTATTTTGGTTTTGGTTTTGGTGAGGCCTGGATAAATGAAGTAGTTAGCTGCGAATCGACATTCCTTAAATTATTTAAACAAAAATCGTGCGACATGGATTTCCAATGCTGGCAAGAACTATTCAACATGTACTCGAAACTTGACCAATGTAAAAGATTTAAACTAATTTTTCAGCGAGAAAAATATTAAGTCATACAGATAATTTATTACATAGAATTGACCTGACCAGACTTCGAGTATCGTCTCATAATTAAAAAATTGAAACGGGAAGACACTCTCAACTTGCTAGAATCGAAAGAAATTCCCCGGCTTGTGTAAATAACACCATTGAGGACGAATACCATTCTTGTCCAGTATGTTCTGTTATATTAGCGTTTCATGTAAAGAGGAAGGTATTACGAGGTCCCATGTTATGCACGAAATCGAACGCTTATCCTCGTTTCTATGCATAATACTATGCTATACACATTTGATGGTGGCCAATTTCGATTTAGTAAGGGTATCTCGATGCAATATTCCCCTCTGAATAATCGTCATTTTGATATTAGGCTGTAACACAGAAATTCAAGTTCAAATCATTCGATTTTTGCAGCAGACTGACGTCTGGCCACACCCTTCACGCATTGCCCTAGATCTCGCAGTTTTCTGTTATTAACATGTAACTGAGCGTCCAAGTTATATGATATCCCTCTTCTCGTTGCCAAGCCCCAATCAAGGATAATTATAGAAGTGTTAACAAAATTTGATTACCGAAACATGCAGGAATTGAATCATTCCAGACTCCGTTATCACATATGATATCTGAGCTTCCATACAGGTAACCGGAAACGCAGGAGTATGAAAGTACACCGCCGTGTGTCGTGCCACCAGTACGTAGGACATTATTAGGTGTACCTGGGTCTACACAGTCCGCTGTAAAAGAAAATACTAAAGTTATATATATTGTATGAGTTGCGCCCTCCACCGACGCATTCATTCCGTGACGCAAACGATGCTGTCAGGTAAAAGCGTTTCGTCGTTGGAGGGCGTGTTCATTTGAGTTCAGTTGAAAGCGCGGTAGTCGTTGCGCTGCGCATGTGCGAGACATATGAGTCTCATATAAACAAAGATGACGACTTTGACTGTTGCGCAGAACAACGAGTACGAACTGAGACGTTTTCAAGCTTTAGACCAGTGGCCATTTCCAAAAAGGGGCCCAAAATGGGAGCAACCCCCACATGTGGTATAACAAGTCACCTCCCGTGTTTTTTAGTTCAGACATATGTCTTCTGAAAGAAAAACATAGATGTGGTGAGGAATGTTGGCTTGGTATACGTTTACAGTGATTGTTTCCATGGTTACTAGTATTAAATTGAAATAAAACACAAGGAATTTTGATTTTGCCATAACTTCTTTAATTCTTAAGATAGAAATTTCAAACTGGTATCAAACTGAAGAAATTGAATTTCCTTTTGAACTGTATTGAAATTCATGCTAATTATCTCATTTGGATAAAATTATACTTATTTTAATGATTTTTACAAAATTTATATTGTAAAACACATTTGTTTAGAATGTATTCATCGAAATTATCAGTTTCAGTCATTTAAGATAGTACAATGCAACACATTTGTTTATTTTTAAACATGCTCACAATGTTTCATACGCAACAAACGTAATTAAATGTTGATTATTTTTCATTCACAAGCATCATTT